CATATTATCCCTTTTGCACACATTGAATCTTTTGAGATTCTCGGATCAGGCGAGCGGGCGCCTGAGTCCACAGCGGGCTTCAACGGAGCACTCCCCAGCATATCCAAGGTCGACCTAGCGGCACTACAAGCCCGTGAAGATCAGACGATTCGCGAAATGAAGAAGAAGGATGCGCAGAAGGGCAAGGGCGTTAGTGCAGAAGCGCAGGAGTTATTCGATGCCATCTCGAGGACGTGAGTTATATCCAGTGAATGCTTATCTATACAGGAGCTCAGACTGACATGCAAACGAACAGACTACCGACCCGCTGGGCAGACACTCAAATTGTAGTTAGCGACTCAGTTTTGATCCAAGCGCCATACACACTCGACAGCATCCGAGCACCTGCCGACAAGGCGCAGGCTGAGAAGCACGTGCGCAAGATTGTCGAGCACTACTACCAGCGCAAGAAGGGAGGACAAGCAGGAATAGCGCGCGCTCCGGTTGCTGTGCCCAATGCTCCACGAAAGGGTGGCTAGATGTACTGTGGCTTGCATGGAGTTGGCTTGCTGCACTTTTTTTTTGAGGTAGAGATTAGATCGAAGGATGGTCACGATCTTTTCGACATGCAAATCCCCGCATAGAACGGTTAGCAGCTAGGCATATGTGGCTAGATTACCAAACGAGCCGCAGAGCCTGAGAAGTCTTGCGCATCAAGGAGGAAGAAAGAATGGAAGAAATTAGTGAGAGGCGTGGAATGTTCGAGAGTATGCCGCATGTGATCGCCATGGAGCCAAGGCTACATTGTCATCTAATATGCGAAAGTGAGAGTACCCATATTCAAATAAATCACAAATAAAATGTTCAAATCTCGAAACTACTTGTGTTGCTGGTAATATGATATGAGGGAATACCACTGAGGACTGAGATGTATGGTTTGTAGGTGCGATACGTTGGGATAAAAGACCGTGCTATTTCGCGTTCTATCAACACCATCTCCCAACTTCTCTTCCAATAACCTCCCCTTTTTTACCCGTCCATGATAGTATACTTGTACGAACCAAGCCTGGTAGGCTAGAAAGGGACAAGCCCTACCGTAAACACAGTATGAAAAGATAGATCCATCCACAAATTCTTCTTCTTCTTTTTTAAAAAAAGCACAGCTGAAGACACATTTACGTAGTTGAATCCCTATTATACACCACTTTTCCACTACCACAAAGACCCTTTTCCAACCACCACCACTACCAATCAGCACAGACACAACTACCTTTGCCTCCGTACTCCATATCTCGCTCCAACCCTAGCCTAAGTCCTAGATAAAAATAAACAGCCCTCAAGACTGGTGTGAAAAAAATAAGCCAAGCATTCTCCCCTGCTTTCACTTTTCCTCTTTTCGGCAAAAGGTTATTCGTCACCCCTATAGCAAGTAAATGTCACCCACTCCCCTCCCCCCATAAGCAGGGCCCCCCCTTACTAAGCCTTTAAGCTAACTAAATCCCTCGTATCTTATACTTGTAAAGTAAAAAAGAGAGAAAAAATATACCTCTCTTCTCTTACTTCTCTCTTACTATCTCTCTCTCTTTTTCTCCTCTGATTTTAATTAAAGAACGAAAGAGAGTAGAAAAGAGTAGATTACAGCGCTAGATAGTGGAGAGTATAAAGATACGAATTAGGCTTATTAAGATAGAAAAGGTGTTGTACTAACTCACCACCCCTGGTGACATTTTACTCAGTATGAGGGCTTGGGGCTCGGGGCTTGGGGTTGACGAATAAACTTTGCCCTCTTCTTTTTTCCCCTTTGAAACCATTTTTACCTTACTCAACAATCTCCACTTTTAGTCCCACCCTTCTCTCGTAGTTTAATTTAAGATTAGTTCTCTTTAGCGTTAAAAAAGAAAAGTTAGACTTAGTGCTTACGCTGTTGTACGATGAAGGCCCTTTTTTTAGTCTCTCATCCTATTCTTTCTCTCTATTTCGGACATTTTTTTCGTGTAAATCCTTTTTTATGGGTGGGTGTAAAAGAGGTACGTGCTATTTAGCTTGATTGGAAATTACGTGGACTAATTTTTTTCCTTATGGTGTGTAAGTATATAGGGAAATTGAAATACGCCCCCTTTAGAATGTAAGTAAGGTAGACATTCATCATCCCCGTCCTCACCTCTTTCTCACAAAATCCAATCGCCTTTTTTTTAAGTTTATTAGGAAAGATGAAGGTTTCGATTATCGCCACGATATTGTCACTGACGTACCTCGCATCGGCTTGTTCGTATAAGAATTCTTGTCAGAGGTTTGGTGCTGTAAGTTCCCCCTCCCCCTCTCCCCCCTCTTCCTCTTTTCCTTCCTCCCCCTTTCCACATCTTAAGTGCAAGGGCTGACTTAAAGTGACTTGGAAGGTTGATGCAAGGTCTGGCTGCATACCAGGCACCGCGGATTCCTGCGCGTGGCTTATAAACCAGGGATACGGAGATCCATGTGCGAAGCAGAGCTTGAACTGTCGACGGGGGAATTGTGTAAGTGGAGCACTATCCTTTCTGTGTTGTTTTTTGTGGGAGGACACATGGCTGACGCGAGTTGTTTTTTCTAGACTGATTGCAAGGTTGTTGAGGATGGGACGACGAGGTGTCGTGCGTGTCAGGTTAGATGCTGTTGAGGTGGAAGCGAGTACTGAAAGAAGCGTCGTGTGATGATGGGGTGACGTTTGTGGTGAATGCTACTGCTGTGGCTGCAGGGAGCGTACGACTGCTGTCGGTTATTCCTGTGCGAGTCTGTACAGTTGGGATATATCCACGGACGACGAGACAGGCGAATCTGGCTATCGATCCAGTCCGCTTACACTTCGGAGCATGTCACACATAACTTTTGGATGATGTGGTCTCGAACTTGGTCCATCTGGATCATCTCGTTACCAGGTGCTATCGTTTCGTAGTAGAAATGAGGCTCTTCTGCTTGTCTGCGACTCGGCATTTGGTTTGCCTGCTCTATCTCACATCCATTCCACGTCTCGCTGTAAGCATGATCGTTTATCGATTAGGACATGAAGCTGTGCTGCTTTCATGGAGACGCAGACGTTTGGCACTATTGTTTTCAGGTCGTGTTGTACCATTGCCGGTAGGAGTCGTACCATGATGTCAACTTGGTCCGAAAACGTAAATCTAGTATTGATTCTTTCAACCTAATCGTTTCAATTCTTGATGGAAGAACCGGGTCTACAGCAGACCTACTGCAGTCTGCTATGTCCGAAGAAACAGACAAAGGTGCGATACAGATCTCAACCAGGTCTGACAAAGGAGCTTTGCAATTGTATTGGAACAACTCGGTCTATACTCGTAAGCGTTTCACTGATAAGAGTAAAACCTCAAGAGTCCACAGCGATGAGACGGACTCAAATTTGAATCCCAAGGGTTCATAGCGACGATACGGACTAAAAAATACGAATCTTGAGAGTTCATGACGAAGATACGGGCAAAAAAGTAGTACTTCGCCAGCTCGTTCAAATTTTATTCTTCTATCCCGCCCTACTGCTTACTGCAGGATTCAGCCACAAGGTTAATAGATAAGTGTAAAATATCCTCGTAAGAACACAAAAATCCTCAACGCTAGATAAATGACCATCCGAGAGTTAATTGAGATTGTAGTAAAACCACGGCTGTAGAGGTTGAGAAGAGCTATGGAACAGTACGATTGAGGACAGACGTTTTCGATATAGAAAATATACCAATCCAGCATTTGGGACTTCGACCGGGACCCCCTTTATGTTCCTTCCGAAGTGACATACTCCAATATGCATTTTGAATTGCCTAGACTTGCAAACAATCTCACGTAAGGAAATGCATACGCAAAGATACCGGGATTTTAATGAACTTGAAGACTACACTAACATATATAAATCGATGTCCTCCTTTGCGTTGCTTCACTATTAACGGGAAACATCATTATCAACGGGAAACATCACTTGCATCTGTCTACTACCTCTCCTTGCGACTCGATAAACCAACTGCATCATGAAGTCAACAATCCTTCTCAGTACCTTGGCCTTCAGTGGCTTCACTCTTGTATAGCCCTCCGTCTCTCATTTCATATGACTGTATGAAGCTAACTTTACAACCTACTTTGGGCAGAATTCTTATGTTCCGGACAAGTCAAGAACCAAAAGACCCTGACAGACTGCTGCGTTCATTTAGGAGGCACATGGAAATCCAATGGATGTCATCTCCCGCAATGGCCTAATCATGGGCATGGTGATAATTGGGACTCGTGCCTTCAAGAGGATCCAGCTAATGTTATCTCCTCGTGTACTATTATCTGAATATTTTTTGTACAAAAAGAAGTATGAGAAGGCAAATTTGCAGATTGATCTGGATATAATAGGATTGTTACAGCTTTGGCTGCATATTGCGATTACGCTCTAGAGAGGTTTCGTGCACGAGGAAGTACAATCTACTTAGCTTCCAAGAATCTCTTCGCTCATCGCGTAGCCGTGTGAAGATGTTGGGAACCCCCACATTCAGCCAGCATCCAGTTTCGTGATGAATATCAGCCCAACCAGCTCAAACACTAGCTCAAAACTGACCCGCAGAATAAGCTACCACAGGTTTTAGCCCCCATGTAGTAGGGTTTCGAGGTAAAGGAGAAAAAAACAGTCTTGGAATTAAGCAAGAAACAGATACAGTACCAAAACCTAGCCAGAAACCAGCGAGAAGAGAAGACTAGACAAAATAAAAAACCAGCCAAAGGAATCAACCGAAACCCCATTTCGACAAATAGCCAAATGACGAGGTAGAAAGCAAGATAGAAAGCAAGCCAGGAAATCATCTCTCCGCATGATCCGCCAGAGGCAAACAGCGCGCGCGTAGCTGTGCCTTGTACCATATATAAAACAGATAGCCCTATCAGTTCAACTAGCAATTATAAAAAGGGGTACAGCTTGAACAATAGATAGAGTAATGCAGAGCTCAAATTACACCCCCTTTCAGCACCGCCGGTCAAACTGTCCGGGTTACCCATTTTGTATATGATATTTATGTTGTGTATTGTGGGTAGTCTCGTCTAAACCCCTCTGAGAAAAGAGCGCCCGCGCTGAGTAGCATCTTGACTACCTTATCATCGTTTCTTAATGCAGCTAGATGTAGCGCGTGGCTGTATAATCGACTTTGGGAATCAACGCAGTCATTGGCGTTGGCGCCTGCATTGAGGAGTATCTGAACTACCTGCAGGTGGCCATTCATTGTAGCTAGCTGCAACGGGGTGCCCGATTCATCCTGGGCGTTAACGTTGGCGTCTGCATTAAGGAGTATCTGAACTACCTGTTCGTAGCCTCTTGATGAAGCTATCTGCAGCGCGCTGCCGTAATATCCAGCCAGTTCGTTCACGTCGGCGCCCTTGTCGAGCAGCACTTGTGCGGCTTCATCGAGCCCGAAAAATGACGCAATAGTCAAATGGGGTGAAAGATAGAGAGGGAAGATAGAATATCCGTCATAATATATGTTAAACCATTTTGAGTAACGCAAAGATTCTGGATTAGAAAGTTTCAATCCGAGCTGCACCAAAGCGGTATCTTTGCTTCTGTTTAATTTGGCTTCTCGGAAGTGTGTCGGCCAGAACATACTAGAGTATTCAAAGAAACTGTAGGTGCCATGATATTGACCATCTTGGCCTAGAGTGCTTGTCTCGGATCTTGTATCTTGGTCAAAGATGCTGATGTAATGTAGACACTGCTCTGCGAGAGTCTTGTGCGCGTGATGCATTGCAATTGAATGTTCCCATCGCAAATTTTGAGGCACGGTCGCAGATGGTGATGCCTCCGCCATAAGAAATTCGCGGGCGGTCTGATGGAGAAAATAAACCTTCCCTTGATATACTGAGACGAACAGCCCACACCACGATCTCAGACGAGACTTGAAATCTCCTTCTCGTTCAAGGCCGAGCTCTTGCAATGACTGTGTAGTCACTTGTATCTCTGTGGCGATATTCAGCTCTAAGACTGTAAGTGCTCGCCCTGCGGCCAACAGGATGGTTAAGACCTTGCGGACCATTGGCTGGTCTTTAGATTTGCTTAAAATCTTCTCGTAAACCTGGCTGACAGTTTTTGGTAACGATTTGATAGCTGACTGAACACCATTCTTAGTCTTCTTGAACCCCTCATACTCCAAATAGTCAAACACCAGATATACCCAGAGGTAGGTGCGGTGTTCGATCTGAAGCAATACATCCAGTAGATCAGCTTTAATATCGTCTGAAAGTCGTTGGTCACTTGCTAACCGTCCAACCCGGTACTCGATAACACGGTTGACTTCATGACTGATGGTTTCAGATTCCTCTTCTCCGGGTATGTGGATGTACGGAAAAGACTCAATCAGGCCTTTGAATTTCCCTACAATCTGCTCGTATGGCCGGCTCGTCATGAGATATCTTAATGTTCCATGACTCGTGCGAGACTGGCCCTCGATGTTGCGCATTAGATCCTCGAACTCTGACTCGGCACACTCATCCAAGGCATCCAGAATTATGATGATCGGTCCTGTTTCACTGTCTTGCACCGCGTTTTTTAGAACTGTCCAGAGTGACTTTGTTGAGTTTACGAGACCCTTTCCATCTGAATTGTACTGTTTTATAGCATGCTTAAGTAAAGCTGGCTTCTGGTAGAAGAGTTGGTGTAGCAGAGCGCAGAGCGCTTGGCGGACAGTATTGTGGTCCTGGTCTTTGAAGAAGAAGTAGCAGACAGTCGCCGAATCCCGTAAGACATGGTCTACTAAATACTTTGCTAGGACCGACTTACCACACCCAGGGTCTGCGGAGACTAGCAGCGGCCCCGCGACGTGTTTGAGCCATTTCTGAAAGTGGGGGTTTCCAAGAAACCAATTGCACGTGCCTTCTACTCGGTCTTCTACGCGATTCTTGTACCACTCGTATGTGATATCCTGAGTGCCCGTGGTAAGACGAAATAACTGGAGATACTCTTTTTGACGATCCGAGAGCTCCTGTTCGCGTACTGTGTGTTGCATCTTTAATCGCTTCCGCGCAATGTTCAGATGCTCTTCTGCAATAAGCTGGTGCTTTGCAACAGTCTCTTGGAAGTCTAGCATGTTTGTAAGTATCAGTATTGACCTGTACGACAATTACCAAAAACCTGTAGACTCACCAGAGAGAACGTCGACAATCTTCCTCTGTGTCTGCACCTGGTCCAACGGAATCATGGATAGCACTTCCTTTGCGTACGCTGCTGCCGTCCCTGCTGCATACATCTGCCATTGCTTATTCTTATGTGAGTCAGCGTAATCGCAGACACCTCGAATCACTAGACAAGGGAAGCTATTCATGAGGCCTGCAGCCTCCATCTCAAAACAAAGCACCCCACCAAGCTCTGAGCTAAGTCTGTCTCTCTCGGCAGCTGTCTTTATAACCTGGTTACCAGATGCGATTGTTCCGTGATGAACTACCACTTCCCGCTGGCTTGGTTCTCGAGCTAATAAACGATCTTTATTACAATCTTTACATGTAGTACCTCCCTCATGGTTGTACTCCGCTTCGAAGAGATCGTCTGAGCCAGCAGCTTCGCGCCTAAATCTAGGCAGGTTGGCAAGCTTAGAAATATATCTCCGCCACAAGCCTCTCTCTCTCATATGATTTGTCTCCACTTTCGTTACGGCGTTAAGGAGTATCGTAGGCGGCGAGTTGAGCGAGCCTACTCGCTGAAACCCAGTCGGGGTAGCCTTACCGGAGTCATACTGCACAACTCCACCATGCGTCATGTATGGGGTGCTGACTACGACATCACCAAGTCTCACATCAGTGTCCTCGGTGGGAACACCGCCTCCGATACCGACCATTAGACAGAAGCGGGTTGAGGTGAAAGTCGACTTCATCTGCATGGCGACTGCTGCAGCAGGGTTGGTGCCTATCTGGCCTTTGGGCAGGCAAGCGATCACGACGTTATGGTGGCCAAACTTTCCGCAGGTGTAGATGTTTGTGTCGCGGGCATCGTATGTAGGCGTCTCGTGCTCCTCATCGAGCAGTTCTTGCGCGGCTGCCAGCTCGGCTGGGAGGGCGCAGATCCACCCTACAGTGTAGTCCTCTAGACATTGCGGAGAGGCCATCTCTAAGCGTTTTGGGAGAGGAAATAGGGGTCTCAAACGCGTGCTTGCTCACGTCAAAACCGTGTTCCCATGATCGAACAAAGTGAAGGCTGTAGAAAGGGATGCGAACATGGCGAAGCAGGCTGAGCAAAGGCATTCCGCACTGTTTAAAGTGTCAATCTGCTCTCAATGAGGCTGAAAACCAGCCTCTGTCATTGGCCGAGCTTGATCGAAGCGGCGGGTAATTTTGGGGGCGAGAATGGAGGGGAAAACGAATGGTTGGTTGGTTGGTCAATCTTTCCCGGCTATAGGCGCTTCTTCGAGTACCTTTGTAGATGCTCCTGCAGCGCTGCCAGCAGAACTGTAAACTTGCTGGTGTAGACTAATGTAGCCAAGCTTTGCTGACGTGTCTACATGGCTTATTAGATATCGCTACACAGTTCTCCTCTTCTATCATTTGGGGTTTCGGTAGCAGTAAGCTCACTCCCGCATGTAGCTAACCTGTGAAGTAAAGGATTCTACAGCTGTGATCAGAATTGGTTCCATGTTCGGTAGCTTGATTTGTCCCAAGTGCATGGTCTTCATGCCAAAGGAGTTTCTTACTTCGTGTTAGCGTCAATAGCGCGCGTATGATGATTTTTGATGCCTTTGGCAATAAGGCTCTCCTGTAGATTTCAACTTCACTGAATCGATAGCACTTAGAGTAAGTGTACGGCCATATATCCATTAAAACTTCGCCGCTACATTCAGTCTCGTCAAACCACTTCCTTGCCCACTCGGATTGTCAGAATCCATGGCATTTTCTATCCCTTTCTCCAATCGCCACACCGATATGTCACGGCCATGCTACTATTGGGCAGGTGACTCGCGGGGATATTATTCAGCTCTTAGCACGCCTCCTAATCTCGATCGCGATGTGCTTTCCATCCTTCCATTCTTCGAGACACAAAAGCTTGAGAACTCATCGCGAAAACAAACCCGCGTCCTTGCGGGCAACGAGAAGACTGACTCCAATCAAGCAAGGACAAAGATACCAGTGAACAACTGCAACCAGCACTCGTTTACACACCCCTCTGACTTCGCGTTTCCCAACTACTCGGTAATTTAGACGAATCCCGAAATATAGACGATAAATCACTGATACAGTACAAGCGCGCAACAACGGCTAGCGTTGGCTTCGCCTAAACGGTCTATCAACCGATTTACAAGATGACTGGCTTACGCCTTGCGGATGTCGACTTTTCACCGCTTACTTTCGGAACGTGTGAGGAATTCCTTTGTCTTCCATTCGATGGTGGGAATGCCGTGCCACAACGAATCAAGCTCTGCGCAACGTGTCTATGGGGCTATGCAATGGTGCGTTGGGCATGCATACGGAATTTTCGGTCGTGGACACAAAGCGGATGCCAGTTCTGTCGACTTGTTCTTGAGATATTTGATACATATGGACCATCGATAGACGACGCCTCAGGTCTTGGAATTTACCATCACGGGAAATGGATGCAGATCGCCTGGATGACTCCTGATCGAGCTTCAGGACGGATTGACGTTTATGACGTTCTAGACGAGGGCCCTTTTGCGACTGAACCGGCTCTAGCGGTCGATGCCACTGTGCCACAAATTAAAGATATCATTGGCGATACAGGTTGCAGTCAAGCATTACAGTGGCTCAAAGATAAGCTAGCATTGTGTGACTCAACGCATAATCATTGTGGACGCAGAGAAGGAACACCCTTGCCGAGGAGGGTACTTGATGTTGGCAGAGTGAACGACAGCAGCGTTACTGAAGACCAGGATATTCAACTGATTGAAACACAACATGGCGTTACTGATTATATCTGCTTAAGTCACTGCTGGGGAAGCGACGAGATGTTTAAGACTACGATAGAGAATATCAGCGAACGAATGCACAACATCCGTTTTAACGATCTGCCAGCTACCTTCAGGGATGCAGTCAGAATCACTCGCGACCTTGGCAAACGACACCTCTGGATTGACAGCCTTTGTATAATACAAAATGATCCCAGGGATTGGCGTGATGAAGGTTTACGCATGCATGAGATTTATGGTAATTCTTACTTGACGATCGTTGCATCGAAGACCAAAGGCCCGGACGACGGGTTGTTTTCCGTATCTTCTCGATACAAGCTCCAAGACTTCTTGTTCATGATGGACAGAAAGCAATTTGTCATGCATGTACGACAAAAAGTCACTCATTTCAACTCCATTGACTCTTTTCCTCTGCTGAAGCGGGGATGGGTCTTCCAAGAGCGAATCTTGTCCCGACGAATGGTGCACTTTGGCCCTCAAGAGCTAGTATGGGAGTGTATGGAGATGGAAGAATGCGAGTGTGGCAACGTTGACGAAGGCATCAGCTGGAATTCGCGCACTCCACGCAAGTCGCTTTTGCTGATGGAGGGTAACCCTTTCTTGTGGAATCGGATAGCAGCGGCCTACTCGAGCCTGAGTCTCACGAAAGAGAACGATGTTTTACCTGCACTCTCAGGTATTGCAAAGAAACATAAACCAGAACCCGAGGCAAGGTACCTGGCAGGGTTTTGGGATGGGAAATTCATGATCTTCCATCTCTTGTGGTACGTACAGCCGACAAAAGGGTTTTTCCCAGGTGACTACAAAAACACTATACAAACCCGGCCTTCGCCGTGGCGTGCACCGTCATGGTCGTGGGCCTCCGTCAAGAGCACCGTCATCTACGACGAGTTCAGCAATTTTTATCCGGCAGTTGAGATCGACGAAACCAGGATCATTCCCACTGGTAGAGACGCCACCGGGGAAGTTATATATGGGGAATTAAAACTACAAGGCTCTGCTACTTTGATCAGTTGCCACATGCCCGAAGATCAGAGCAGTGCAAATTGCAAACAACAGCTCAACATCCGCTGCATGGGTCTGAATGTCAACAATCTGGCTCTCTTTCCTGACTATGACTGGTCCTTAGACCAGAACTGGTCGATTCATGAAGGCCAATTGTTATTCTGTCTGCATCTAGCAACCACTAGGTCTAACACAAACAAGACTGACGGTATATGGAATTCTGATGAAGAAATCTTTGATCCAGATGACGATGTCTGGTTCGTGCTACTGGCAAAATTCGCAGAGGAAGAACCGGTTTTTCAGCGAGTGGGTATGGCGAGGCTTAAGTGGAAAGACTATACGAAACAGGAAGAGTTTAGGGACAGCTTCAGAGAGTTTGAAAGGTTTGTAATTTTTTGAATAGCGATAGAAAGTGGAATTTCTGTCTTTTAGGCGCTGGATGTCTAGCCTAAAGTATATCCAGAAATAAAAAGGGCTGTATCTACTATTACTAGGAATTAGGAACTTGAAGTTACTACGTGAAGCAATACGTATGTAGCGAAGTACCAAAATCTGATCTACACGCGTTTAAAAAGAAGAGTTGGCCGTTACAGACGCTGTGACACTTACCTAAGCCAACTTATAAGCGTTAAGTTCATATAGTTGTCTATCACCGGTCCTGATAGCCTTAGTTACCTGAATTGTACTCTTTTAGAGTCATGGCGGAGCATCCGTATCATCAGTAGAAACCTGATATGGCAACAAGTAAATCTAATCGTAATTTCTTTGTTACAGCAACAAAGCTTTTCTACGTGACATTTTTCAGAGAATGGAGAAAACCACATGACGTAAATCATCTGCTAAAAAAAACATCTCAAAGACCCCAATTACGCAAGTCACCGCAAATGATATCACATTCCAACCCGCATTCGCATTCGCATTCGCCGCTCTCTAATTGTACATAGACACTCTTAGACTTCCTAATCATTCTACATAAGCCCCCTGAATAAAACCTCCCCCAATCCCACTTCCGAAAACCCTACAACACTACCTCCCTCACCCCAAAACCCCTCACATACCCAATCCAAAAGCACAGCACTACCCCATTCAATCCTGCACCACCATCACGCCCAACGCCACAACCACAAAGCACCCTCGCACCTCCACCACGCACCTTCCACCACCTACAACATTACAAGCAGTGCAAAGACATTGCGGAAGAAACCCTACAGAACCACATTTCAAACACCTCCCCCAAAACAAAGTTTATACTGACATGACCCAACACCCTAGCTAACACACTGGACGTGGGGGGAAAGATCGAGACGTCCTGTAATTTAATACAAAGGGTTCCTTTTCCACGGAACCGGACCCAGACTTTACTATCTATCCATTAAATACGTACTAACGCACGATGGGTGTGAGGAAAAAAAAATTTGAATCCAGATAGATAAGCTACTTACTACCTTTTTCTCGGTTGAGAAAAATCGGGTGAATAATGCTTTACCATTTCTATACACACGCACACATGCACACACGCACGCACACCGAGTGATACCAGACTTGTGAGGCTTCTAGCAAGGTTATGGAGGTGGTAAAAACAAGGGAAGAGACAGAAGCGTAATGATAACTTTTTTTTCTTGGGGGGAAGGGGGGTAAAACTGTAGGCTTGTGATGATGCTGTTGACCCCCTCCCCTTCCCCACAAAACAAAACAAAACAAAGGTTAGAAGATTTAGAAATAGATGGGAAGAGAAAAAAAATAGGTTCACAAACAGTAGACCTGAGATCAACCGAATCCACCATTGATATGTAACATGAATGGTTCGTAAAAAAATGGTCTTCACACTCTTGAAAATTTCAAACCTATATCCTCTTCTAAAACAAATCTCATATCCACATCTTCTTGCATAATCTACCAAAAAAAGCTCCTCAAAACACAAACATACATGGTTGCGTCTACTACAACTCACTATGCTCCACAACCCTCTCAGCATCCTTCTCCTTCTTCTCCCTCACCTGCTCCAACTCCTGCACATCCACCAAACCCGCAGCAATTTCCCGCTCCCCCTTCACCCTCTTCGCCAACGCCGCAATCTCTTCATCATACACATTCCACTCGGGAATCTGCCGTCTCGCACGGTCAAGCTTCGGTTCTTTCGTCTGAGGATTATTACAAAGATCAATGGTTTTCGCTTTAGCGAGGTCCTCGTCGCTGCACCAAGTTTCGCACCAAAGCCATTCTTGGGGTAAGCTGTGGATGGGGAGGTTGAATTGCATGTTGTTGGGGAGGTCCTGGTCGAGGTTGGAGAGCGAGTTGGGGTCGGCGGATAGGGCGTGGTATTGTTGGCGGAGACGGTCGCCGGCGGCGAGTTGGCGGAAGCGGACGAGGTCGACGACGTAGAGGGCGGAGATGTGGTAGGGGCGGCCGCGGAGGAAGTTGGCCCAGTAGCCCGTCTTCCAGAAGCGGAAGCCTTCCATTTCAGTGCGGGAATCGCCCATGGGAGTGAAGCCGTAGGGTGCACCCTCGAGATCGTGCTGCACAAGCTCGTACATGTCTGTTCTGACGATCTGGTCCGCATCCACAAAGATGACCTTTTCGAGGTCCAGAGGGAACAGGACATCCAGGAAGAGAATCTTGTAGCCCCAAATCTCGCGTTGTTTCTCCGACTGTTGGCGTAGCCAATGTGGCCATTTGTACGTGACCATTTCGTATTCAAAGCCGTACTCAGCGGCCATGTGTGGAAGAAAAGACTTGAAGCTTGGCGAAAGGAATTGCTCGATGAACCAAAACTTGACTGTGTGCTTTGTGTGCTTCATGACGGAGAGCATCATGATGTTCAGCATGCGCTCATACAAGTGGCCTGAGGCGACTGAGAAGATGTTGATATCCGCTTGCGTGCCCTTCTTCACTGCCTTTCCTGATAGCAGATCGGCGCCCTTTTGCAGGACCTTCTCAGAGTCAAAGTTGAGACCAATCTTACCAAGGAACTGGTTGACTTTCTGTGCGCCTTTGCCAACCAGTTCGGAAGCAAGAGACTCCTCTGGAGCAAGCACATCAGCAGTTTCCTGACCAGGCTTGCGAGACAGCCGCGGAAAGATGGTAGCCCCTTGGAAGCTCATGAGGGCAATCTCGGTAGTCTCGTCGCCAGGCTGGGGGGCCCAGCTGATTGGACCAGCGCTATCGAGGTTGAAGACTTGTTGGGACCGACCACTCTTCAGCTGAATATTGTAGAATCCAGGGTTGGCTTTGAATTGGAGGTAGCCAAGATTGGCCATGATGATGGTGTCAGCAAAGTGTGGGTCTTTCTCGGTAGCTAAGACAACCTCAGCTCCACGAGGTGGCTGTCCACCATTGGTGGTATCGCGAGAGTGACCTTCAATGAGAATGCTTTCCAGTCCATAGATGGCGTCAACATTGGAACCAGCTGGGATAGTGCTGAGCTTGATATTGTCAAGATCATAGATGGATTCTTCTGGAGCGACTAGCCATGAAGGAGGCACATCCATACCAAGATTCAATAGTGCCTCCTTGGGAATACCGGAGAAGCTTGCTTTCAAGCTACCAACAGATCCATCCGGATTGAAATGGGGTCGGGCTTCAAGAACATATCTGTAGAAGCGTTTGATGGGGAGCTCTTGAAGATTGTTTTTGGGATTCAGATACAGTGTGAGATGAACGCCCTCCATGTCGCCTAGAGTCTTCAAAATGGGAACCCATTTCTGGGCGACCTCAGTAGCTGGATCGATCGCGGCCACAATATGAAACACGGCCTTGTCTTTGTCACCTTTGACGATGGCGGTGTGTTCAGTATTCCACTTTTCATCGTCATTTCTCCTGATTGTCGAAATCTGTTCAAACATACCCTCTGGCACATCCGATATAGTTGACAAAGCGGCCAGTGATTGTATCTTGGCGATATTGAAAGGCGACTCAATCTTGTTCAAAAGCCCAAGATCGTCCAATGCCTTACTCAAGGGCTCAGCACGTTTGCTCATCTCGTAGGACACTAGTCCTTCCAGATCATCTTTGGTAAACTCGATCTCTTCTGGAATAGGGCCAAGATGACGTCCATTGACAATAATGCTATTTTGGCCTGGCTTTAGACCAAGAGCTTCGTATATTGGGTCGGCCGCCTTCCAGAAGAGTCGCGACTCTTCAGGGAAGGAGACGGAACTGGGCTCGCGAGCCAAGAGCTCCAGCAAGGTGTCTGCTGTAAACTTGTCTCCCGTTTTGGAAAAAGACTCAAGGATGTCTTGCGACACGCCCGACTTTTCCGCCTTAGCGACAGGATTGTGTATCAAGACAATCTCAGCATTCGGATTAGCCTCGCGGAAATCTGCCAAAGACTTGAGAAGACTCAAGCCATTTTCAGAGTCAAAATCAGCGGTGAGGGTGATATGTACCCAGTCGCTTTTGCTGGAAGACTCGGAGGCGCGAACTCGTGGCATCTTGTTGTATACATGGCTGTGGGTGTTTTCAAACTCAGCCATGTCGATCAGCGTGATGTTCTTCTCATCCTCTGGAATAATATAAGGATTGCGCCTACTGGCCGCTTGCGCAAGGAAATGCTGTGGCACCCAGCTATCTTCATTGAAGTTGCCTTCAAATATAGCCTTTTGGATTTCGCGAAGATCGAAGGTGATTCGCTTGCTGAGACTAGAGAGCCACTCCTCATTGCCAGGAATAGCAACACCGTTTATTATAATCGGTGATTGCGGGCCGTCCCCAGCCAAACGACTCACGTACTGCTTGGAGTTTGCAATCCGTTGGTCCAGCTC